CATTGTATTTCATTTATGAATGCATATAAATAAATAAATAAATTTATTCTCATAGTACAGTACATATATTAATGATACATTGCATTTACCTATTTCATTACACTTTAATGATTCACTTTAGCACCTTTACTTTTCTAAAACAGCTTACTATCCCTTGTAAACGTTGTACTTACCTCAATATTGGTTGGTTATCGTATGCGTACAACTACGGGTTGAAAACGAAATGAAGTCGATTTTCCTGCACAACCTGGAGGACTACTGTTTAATTCAATAATGATACAACATGGGTCAGACAAAGAGTGTATTTATGCATATATCAAATATTTAGCTGTTCAAACATTACTAACTTGTAGACAATCTACTATTTGACATTGTATCATACTTGATCGTGCCTGTAAAAATGGCATGCATTTTCATGTAAATTTATGTTTATATGAAAATGTAAAATTATTATTATTAATGTAAATTTGTAAATTTATATGAAATACATTATTATTATTATTAAGTGAAAGACTACGGAAAATCGTAAGACCAGTCAAAGTGGAACGGATAAAGCACAACAACATGGAGTAGTGTTGCTGAGGCCGTATATAACACTAGAGATCTAGGTGAACCGCAATAAATAACTACCGATTTTAGCCCTTGATTCTTTTCTCCAAATACCCCTAACATTTTTCTCACCTAAGTATACTGCTCACCCACAGTGCTTTATCAGATAACGGAGACTTTTCTGTTTTTGTTCTCTTAAGAGTACAAATGAGTCAGGTAGCTTAATTATTAAGTACTAGCATCTTGAATTCTTTCGTTAGCATTATTACTTTTAAATTCGTAACGGCAAAGGGTATTTCCAACTTTACATGTGATTAGTTTCGCTGGTGTGGAGTCGCAATTAATTGCAACAAGGATTATGCAGATTACGAAGAGTCACGTACACTCATAATAATAATATATATTTATTCCTGTTTATGCAGGAACATACCGATTTTAAAGGCATGGATAAGTCATTATAAATAAATAAATAAATTTATTCTCATAGTACAGTACATGAGGGACGCCAGTTTACAGGCATCATCACATTGTTACAGAAATAGAACCATATAATTCAATCACAATTTACAGATAGTAGCAAGATATGCTTTACATGTTCGCTGGAGATTATACCTACACTTGATAAATGTTAATCACAGTAGCATAAAACAGCCTTTTCACTTATATACAATCATTTCTGTGCAAAGTTGGAAAAATCTGCTAGATTGTCAGTGAGTGCAACACAACAGGAAATACAGGAGTATTGTCTTCGCATTAACCAAAAAAAACCAGGCCTTTGGTGGATGGATTGTAAGTGCCTGGGGAAAAAATAAAGCTTGAAGTAAATATTCATACATAACTTTGTTGTGTGCAGAGTCCTCGAATTATAGTTCACTGATGTGTTATTTTGAAATCAGTGATGTGTTTATCTCATTTGATCTTCAATGTCATTGTTGGGAGTAAATACATAAGCTTCGGACGCATTAATTAATGGATTTCTACTGCTTGTGGGTATTTTCTTAGCGTGAGGAAGGTTTATGAGTTTCAGCTGTTCCGGCAGGAGTTGAGAATATTAACTGCTCAGCAACATTATGGATATAAGTTCATCACATTATCTAAGGAAAGGTGGGTTGCAGTTGTTGAGGGATATATGGTGCCCAACGAGCGTTCATCTGTCCATGTGATGTTGTGGTGAGTTATACCTTTTTCATGTTGTCGGTTTATGTCCATTTTATTCCACTTGTTGTGTTGAGTAGTAGTTTTACAAACGAGATTTCTTTTCTGTTTGAGGATACATATCTTAACCGTTAATGTTTTATCTAGAATTATAAATATAGGCAAAAAACAACAGGTGTAGTATTTAAGCTTATACATTAAATGGACCTATAATTTCGGAGGCTCTCAGATAGGAACTAGGACTACTATCGTTTGCAAACTCTCGTAGTTTGTGATTAACCACCTTTTTGAAGGAGGCCAATGTACTTGCTTGACGCATTTCCATTGGCAGTTTATTCCATATCTGTGCATACCTAATCGAGTAAAACTTTTGCCTGGTGGCTGTTTTGCATTGTTCGATAGCTACTGTACCCTTAGTGTGTCTTAGTTTGTAGCCATTGTCATCTGAAAGTCGAGTGCCATTAGTAGAGGTAAAAACTAAGTGGTTTAGAAGCTTATAGTAAAGTGTCAAGTTTAGTCTCAGGCGTCTTAGCCATAGTGTTTCTAGTCCTAGGGTATCACATCTAGTGGAGTAGTTCGCACAATTTTCGGTTCCAAGTAATTTTAACGTGAAGTACCTCTGCACTCCCTCGACTTTCAATTTGTCCTCTATGCGTATGCTACTATACATGAATGAACAGTAATCAAATAGAGGACGCATACAAACCTTGTACAACAGAATTCTAGACTTATTTCTGTAGAAGTTCCTGAGTAGAAAGCCGATAAGTCTGCGTGACTTTGACACTTGTTTGGAGATATGTTCAGAAAATGATAAGTTATGTGAATATTTCAGCCCTAGGTCCAGTACAGATTCCAGTCGTTGAAGTGCATGGCCTTGAATTGTCAGGTCAAGTTCTAAATTGTTGCAACCTATGCAGAGCCAGCCACATTTTTCGACATTAAATTGGAGTTGCCAGGTGTCACACCATCTATCCATTTTTTCTAATTCTTGCTGTATGGCGTTTACTGTTATTCCAAGACCTGTGTTCTTGCATTTATACGTCACTTTTAAGTCATCTGCATATAGTATTGGTTTACGTACACTAAAGCATTCACAGATACTGTTTATATATATTATGAATAAGAGTGGGCCTAATACACTTCCCTGGATTACACCACTACTTACTGGTTTAGGCCTTGAGATTATGGAGCCAACTTTCGTTGTCTGACTTCGGCCACACAGAAATGATTTTATCCAGCTCAGGAAAGGGTCACATATCCATAGTGAGCATAACCTGCTGACTAGCAGATTATGGGGAACTCTGTCGAAGGCTTTTGTTATATCGAAATATAGTACAATTACTAGTTCTCTGTTGTCCCTACTTCGTGTAACTTCATTGAAAAAGTCTATGTGACAGGTCACACATGATCTTTTTTTAAGAAATCCGTGTTGTGATGGATTGATAAGTTCATGTTCTAGTAAGTTGTCTGACACTTGGTCTTTAACCACTTTCTCCATTATTCGGGATATTACCGGTGTTATAGTGATAGGTCGATAGTTGCATACACTGGTTTTGGCCGCTACTTTGTGCTTGAGTAATATGTATGTGGTTTTCCACACTTCAGGATAAGTTCCAGTTTCCAACGAGAGAGTAAATGTTCTAAGTAACAAGACTACCATTTCCGTGCTACCATTTTTGTACATGACAGATGGTATGTCATCTGTTCCAGTACTACCATTAGACTTCAAAGTCTTAATCGCTGAGTCTATATTTTGTATATTAAAGTCTATTTCGCCTAATTTGTGGTTACTTTTGCAGGTCACTTGGAAATTTTGGGTCGGGTGCACTCTGGCGTCATTATATAAATTACACATATTTCGATGTATGCTGAATTTATAGTTTGGTTGTTCTTTTTGACATTAGAGTCAGTCGGAACAGTCTGTAAAATAGTCTGCTTGTGTAACACATAAAGAGATATAGAAATATTGTTTTCGCATCAACAAAAAACACAGATATCAGATGAATGTAATACAAATATCTGGGGAAAATAAAGCTTGAAGTCAATTCTCCTATAAAACTTTGTTGTGAATAGCATCCTTGGCCTAATGTTCATTGATGTATTATGTTGAGATCAGCGATATATGTAAATATATATAGGTTGATTCCAGAGCTCTTGATTGGCCCCATTTGTGCCTGAATGACAGATTGCAGACGTAGCTTGAGTAAGACGTATATATATAACATCACAATAGAACAGAGAGAAATAAATATAAACTATTTTAAGATCTATCAAATATGACATATACTCAAGGTGTTACGAAATAGGCTTTCAGAGGGAATAAAATTAATCCACAGCGACGTCACTTAATGTTCAAAATTCACCAAAATGAAAGCTCATTGGTATGTAATTAAACCAAGTGATTCGCATAGAAGTTTCAGATATAATTTAAATTCTTTATGTTCTTTGCAACACGCAATCAGTAAGTAGTTGTTGCAGAACATTCATAAATGTTTTCTGAACTTTGTCCGTCTACAACTTACTTTGAATGACCGAATACTTTGCTCTTATTGACATTCACGAAACTTCTCCAAGATATTGATCAGCTTTTACGTTAATAACTGATATTGAGTGAATTCTGTGTGAATCTGCGTGTTTCAGTAAAACATGCCACTTTGAACAAACCAATGCAAAGTCCATTTCAAGTGTACATTCATCTCAAAATATTGACACTATGATCGTAATATGGCAATGTCAACAAATTAGAGTATAAAATGTTCACCCCTTCACCGAAACTAGAAAAAGAGATAGATTGGAAATAGCACGTTGATCATTTGATTCATCGAATCCCAACCCAGCCGAGTCATGAAACTTACACAAATGATCCTTACCCATAAATTCGTATTACTTTGGTTCATTGCAATTTCAGAGTGTTTAATTCCCAAAATGAAACAATATACTGCAGAACGTCGTGAATGCGGAATGATCAGACCTTTGAGTTTTAAACATAACTACAATTCGTGCTATATTCTGGAGGATGCATTAAAACGTTTCGCAATACGTCTAGAAGAGGTACCACAGAAGACTATCGCTCATCGACCAGATTTCTGCAAAGTGACCAAAATTCAAATTGATATTACTGAAGGCTGTAATGAAGAAAATGGAAAATTATGGCCATCTGATTCAATGAAGGAATCATGTAGGTGGAACGCACTTTAAGTGTTTAAACACAAAATATTTCGTCACCTAGATATTATGAATGTCTCCAGTGGTACCTTGCACATTCGATCAGATGAAATATGGGGAGTATTACATGCTTTGGAAACAGTCCTGCAACTAGCGTTCAGAAATGGGAACTACAAGGTACAGTGCAGAAATGTGCTCACTTCACGATAATAGGTAGTGATACTTGAGTGTAGCATAGAAGACTCGCCAAGATTTCCACATAGGGGAATGATGATCGATACAGCCAGACATTATCTAAGCGTTGGAACAATCAAGAATGTCATTGTAAGTTGCCTTGCTCTTGTTATGTAACTTATAATTCTGAATTGAAAGGCTGCATTATCAATAGTGAAGATGAATGTGCTACACTGGCATATGACAGATGATGAATCCTTCCCGTATGTTTCTTCATTGTATCCTGAATTGTCTTCACAGGTGAGAAATTCCGAGTCAAATACATTATCACCGTTTCATTGGGATTGTATTTTCAGGGAGCGTATCATCCACATTCGTATGTGTATGGAAAGGATGAAATTGATTCACTGGTAGAATTTGCACGAATACATGGTGTTCGAGTGATTATTGAATTTGACTCACCAGGTGAGGAGTATCGAATTTACTGTGATAACATATGATTGTATATTTTGTAATTGTCATTAACTCTTAATCTCAGTTCATGGGTGACTGATTAGCAAATTATGCGGTCATATGTATGTGCGTCGGTCGCACAGTGGTTAGGACTCTCGCCGACCATGCACATGGTCCGGGGTTCGATCACCTGCCGACGCACACCCGATATCTATGGTCGGCCTACAAAATTTGGGCTACCGATATCCATGCTGAAAATTCCATACTTGTACTGAAAATACGGTGTGGCATCAAGCTGTAATCAAAAATTGAATTAAAAAATTTTTCTCCACATTTTTATTGATTCTAACAGGCTAAAGTTTCACTTTATGCCCAGGACATTGAGATAACATTCGAGCCTATGAAAAATAAGCCAAGATTCGGTAACCGGATAGATCTGATCACCTAATGTAGACAATAGAATTTGGTTAAATTCGACCGCCAAAAAATTAAATGAAAGACAAAGTTAAAAGTACAGAATAAGGTAGTGGGATTGAAGAGTGACTTCTCAAATACATAATATAAAGCATCTTAATGACTATATCCACTGTGTATCACATGATTGAGGAAGCCTTTTTCATATATAGAGCTACTCCATCAATGAAGTGTTATTCGACTTAGTTTGACAGAGTTCTGATTATCCCCACTGCTTACAGAAGATTCTCATAAACACTGCAGATGACACTAAGACTGTATTAGGGGTTCTCCAGGTGGCCGAAATTGATTACCTGTTTTTATTCAGATTCATATTTAATTGCTGAAAAGTGATGCAATTTAGCAGGCTCATTCACGAAAGTTATCAGAAGTTATGAATACTCCAATTAAGTGTGAAATACCTCTGGTTTATTAAAATGAAGCTATCTGTGCCTAAAAGTGGGAGCACCAGAATACAAATCTTGGTTGGGAAAAACCGATAACATAATCAACAGATGCTATTCTCCAATAGTTAAAACTTGCATTTGGTAATTTAACTGCATAGAGATTAGCACCTCTGAATACATTTCGAAGATGTCCTGTGTCACATCGATGTTGTATCTCCCGAATTACTAATGACCGGATCAAGAAGTCACACCCAGAAGCATATTTCGTTGGACAATCTGCTATGGTGATTGACATTCGAATCGCAGTAAGCAGTGTATGTAATTCAGTGAAATAAACTCATTTGATTATAAGTTTCAAGACCGTAGATGCTACGAAATTCCTGGAATAATCTCAGTGCCAAGTTAGGTTGCTTCATTAATAACCCAGTGATTGACAAGATCCGAATAATTCTCCTGAAGAAGCTGTGGCTTACATAGTGAAACATTCAGAAAAATCTTGTTTTGCTGTTTTCTTAAACACGCTGGGATTAATTTAAGTAATTTATAATAAGCTCATTTAATGTTCGCACGAGATTAACAGGCTCTCTGTCACATATATCCTTCTGTCATCCAGGTCACACTCTATCATGGGGGAGAAGTCATCCTGAAATTCTCTCGGGTGAATCACATGACGGACCAATCAATCCAGTCGATGAGGATGTCTGGCCATTTCTGTCAAATTTATTCAGCGAAGTGTTGAGTGTATTTCCTGACCGTGCCTTACATTTAGGTGGGAGCATTTACGACAGGTATTCATGGTGAGTGTGCTGACGTTTTCTGATATATGATTAGTTTCGCACATACACATATGGCTGAATGATTTCTTGCAGTGAATCTGATGCGATTCGGCCTCCTCATCATGCGAGGAAAGGCCGAATTGCCAGATGTTTCCTAAGTTTAATTTTCCATAATCTTTGCTTTGTATCTCATATTCGATGTTTGTTGCTCCTACTTTTAAAAGATATTAATGCACACAGTCAACCGAGTGAAAGGTTATTAGATTAGAACTTGCTGTCAAGGGTTAAAATAGTCACATTAGGTTCTACAATAGCAACTCAACATTGGGAACAAGATTCGTATTTTTGACACCAACGTCAAGTCGGGCAGTTCTTCTATACGGTTCAGAAACTTGCACTGTGTGTCACGAAAAGCATTTCCAACAGGTCACAGAAGACTTTTATCAACAGCTACCTTCACTAGCTGCATACTGAAGATCAAATGGCCGGCCAGAAAGAATAAGTAACAAGTAACTGTGGGAAAAAACCAACCAAGAGCCGAACACTTAACAAATATGTAGGAGGAAATGGAGATGGGTGGATCGGGAATACACTGAGGAGACAGTCGAATGACATCATATGCCAGGCCTGTGATCGAGTGGAATCTCAGTGGGAAGCGACGAGTGGGTCGTCGGTGTGAGGGTGACATGGAGGAGATCGTGTGATAAGGAGATGAGAAATTGTGGGCAACCATGGTCCAAGCTGAAGGAGATGGCAGAAGATAGGAAAAAGTGGAGGTGTGTTGTTGAAGCCCTATGTTCCACTAGGAACCCAAGGGAATAATAATATAATAATACACATAAGGGTGAATCTACTACAACCATACAGATTCACACAAATATGTAACCCACACACCAGCTTAAAAATTATCAGTACAACTCACAGAAATGTGAAACAACGAAATTGATTTTCGATGTGATGTTGATAAGAAACAATGTGAATGTACCAGCTCAAAATGCTGTCAACCCACAGATCTTGTAACTGGTACTGCTGCTAGAAAACCAATAGACGCAACTCAGAAAACTATGAACTGCAACCAAATCGAAAATATCAGGAAACAAACTGGCAATTAAGAGATTGTTTATTGTTCCACTGACAATAAACCAGCGAGGCAAGACAACAACAGGACAAACGTGTTGTGTTCGAGACATCATCCAATGATTCAGACAATATAACGGTGTATCGTATCGAGTCTACTTGTTTAATACTGAATTATATTTTATCAAAGTGCCTAAATTCTGCTTTAACATTTATTAATATTGGAAGTTCAATCTATATTTTATAGAAAGTAATGATGGTGGATAGGTATTCATCCATGCCTATTGAGGCGTTAGATGTGCGTTTCCCTTTACTTCGTCACATGTACACTATGAAACGCTTGACCAACTTTCTATTCTGGTGTCCTTATATATTGAAAGACAAGAAGTAACCTTACTGTTTCACCATTACACAGCTGACACATCCAAATTCCCCTTAGTCTATCCATCCTGCATTCATAAAAGAATGTCAGTAGACTCAAATTGTAGAAGGTGACATGCATTTCTAACAAGAAACATGTTGTTCTGTTGTGTAGGGAAGAAGACGCCAACATCCAAGAATTCATGAAACAGAAAGGATTCGATCAAGACTACAACAAATTAGAAAATTATTATTTTGAACGCCTCACAGAAGTTGTTCAGAATATTACGTCAGAGTCACAAAGCGTGACACCTGTGGTGTGGCAGAATGTATTTGAGAATGGATTCCGAGTAAGTATTCTTCAATTTGCAATTGCTGTTCATAACTTGATGCAGTTTTACTCTCACCTAAATAACCAAATCAGGTATTTAGTTTTAATTTGAAACATTTTGAGAATGTGAATTTCGAGTCAGATCACAAATACAATGAACAGAAGAAGAATATTCGCAGATCTCTCATCACATTACTGAATCATTAATGCACCACCACGAAAATACATCCAGAGGAACTCCATTGGTTTGTCAAGCCTTTATATACATCCTCATTCTGCTTCATTGTTCTAGTCACATCGGTTTACATTTAAGCTTCTCCACAAAGTCACCAACTCCTCATTTTATTACATAGTATCACTGATCCAAGTGAATTATGAAGCAACAAATGGAAGACTCAGGAAGTTGAGTGGTATAAGAAATACAGATATCCTCGCCGTAATTACTTCATCCTGAAGTAAGAATTGCTCAGCTTACAAGCCTGATTGATCGTGTCTGGAGGTGACCAGAAGTGTGACTTGTGGGAACATACACACTGTCTCCCAGAGTGTGATTACAATACACTGACGCATGCAGATAGTTTAGAAAACAACATGTGGAAATATTCATGTTATTCCATTGATTCAACTGACTACTCATGTCAGTTCACAGGTATTTCTATGTGTTTTTCTGTCCACTTAATTGTTGTGTAGAAGCGCACGTGAAAAATGTTGAGGATAAAAATGTGTTCAGACACTCTAAAACGTATTCCATTTATTATCTTAAATTTTAACACTTCTAATGACTGACTTCAATGTAACGACGTACCGTTATCCAGTATATGAAATCAGCATCCTGAGATTTACCTCAGCTTTTTGGCATTTATCGACCTCATTAGAGGAAGTGACTTCATCAGATCAAACATAGACTACCAGCCATCACAACCTAATCCTTCATTTTAACGTTAATTATTACAGCAACGACATCAGTAAAAGACGACATGGCGGAGAAGGTGGCCGTCTAGAAGAGAGATTTAACTGCCTCAACAATACTCAGACACTGCCGTGATCCCATATGCATAGCTTTTAAATGACCTGGACATATATTAGATTCGCTGATAGGTTGAAAAATTAACAACCAATGAGAATTTAGCCTTCAAAAATACTGGGAATATAAACCTCGTGTTACTGGTTACTTTGAGTTACGCGAAAGTGGGGTAATATAACATAAATGAATCACTATTATTATCATCAATATCGTGTATCAGCTTTGTGTTTAACGTCTTGCGATGTATATAACGTTAATTATCAAAACACCCACACCTGTCTGTTGTATCTGAAATCACTTGATTCAACATATACATGAGTTAGTGTGGTAAGTTACCGATCGTGATACCTAAGCAGTGTGGATTTCTTCTAAGAGATCCTAAGCTATAAGAGGCAGTTGAACTTTTGGTTTAATAAACGAAATGCTCGACTTAGATGTATTCGTCGGGAGAGGGAAAGGTTGTATAATGAAGGCACCGATAACATTAAAACAGGCAAACACAGGAAATGAGTGTACTCAAATAAGAGACATATTCATAAGGAACTGGCGGGAGGAGTGTGAAAGTATGAAACATGATACCTACTTTATCTAAGGTTTCACTAGAGGGTGATGGTAGGTCTGAACCAGGTTAGGGTTCGGGAGGCAGGTTAGTGTTGAGTTAGGCAGTAAAACTCCTCTTTTAGTAATGTTGGTCCTTTCAAATTCATTGGTACGTTTTCTCCCCTTGGGTAGCTCTCTTTTAACTTAGTACTGTATTACAGATGAGAAGATGAACACAGCTTACAAACCTCTAGTTCTCAGGCGTCTAGTCCGAATTCCGTCAAAGCACTATCACTATGTGTGTAACGGAAAGCAGTAGAGCTGTGTAAAAGTCCCTTCAGGGTTAGTCAGAAATAAACAGCTCTCAGAAGTACAGGACAGGGGAAAATAGTTACAAAATAGTGCAATATTGACACTCACGATGACATATAGTCATTTGGAAATGACTAATTCTTGTCAAGTGTTGGCAGTAAATGTTTTTCAAATTATGACAGTGTACTACTTCATTGTGAAGAGTAGTGCGTAAATGAACACAAATGAAAATAGTAACAATGGTTCAGAAGTTGCCAGTAAAGAGAAGAATTGAGCCGACAGGGACTACCCTGAAGCTTTGAAAGAACCCTATTATTACAGAGATGTATGAATTCCGAAATGCCAATCTCACATATTATCATCTAAACAAGGCGGCCTGCTCAAACCTTGGGCTACCAAATTTTCCGTCGGTTATATTGCCTCTGATTACTTGGATTGTTTCGTTTTAATTACTCAATTATTTGACCAAGTCGTATATTTTACTCTCGCGATTATTTAAAATGTTTTTCTTATTGTTGGTAGATACTGTTGCACTCTTATTCTTATACAGCATAAGTTTTAGCGATAGTTAATATGGCTGTAGAAAGTAACCTTAGAAATGGCACTAAAACACCTTACTGTGTAGTCACAAGGGCTTCAGCCAGAGAAGGCGAAAACGCAGGGACACCAACCCCTTACCGCATACCCATCCTAAAGACTCGTGTAGGTCTCGTCTGTCCTGATACAAAGGCTGCATTGCCACAGTCTAGTCCTGAAACGGCACAGGCAATACTAGGGGGACAGGATACTACACCTGAACCAACTGAAAGCCAATGTGTGAAGTACAACAAACCTAAAAGGAAACGCTCAAGACGTCATAAGACCTCGAAGGCGTCACCAAGTAAGGGAGACGAATGCCAGGCCCGCAGTATCATAGTTTCTAAAACTGACTCAGCTTTCGAATGCAATTTTTGCAAACGGTGGGTGCACTGCCGTTGCGACAAAGACGTACCGGAATCATACTGCGAGTTTATGAGAAATAACCCGTGCCCGTGGTTTTGGTACATCTGTCCATCCTGTCGCCCTGGCATAGTCACACAGAGCGTGTCTGAGGATAGCCGAAACAACACGCCGCCCTTGTGTTCCAACACGGCCTTATGTAGCTCCCCACCTGCTAACATCACATTGCCAAAACTTGGCACAGACAGTAAGAAGGACACTCCAGTCCTACTGACTGAAAATGCCAATTTTGACAAGGTGAATATTCAAAATGTTGGACCCACAAAATCAGTGGAAAAGAGAATTAGAAAAGCACCACTTGCATCCACAAGCAAGCTTGGCTACACAATGAAAGCTGGCCAGAACCCGATGAAGCCTAAAGTTGCTGATGCTGCAAAGGAATACAAGAAACCGAAGGCCGAACCTAAGTCTGGGGTTAATCGGTCTAGCTCTCTTATCCTCTTTAACGTACCTGTGAGTAGGGATAGCTTGCTTGAACAGCGGGCTATGTTTGATCAGGAACAGTGGTCCAACCTGTGCGATAAACTAGGTCTGAATATTAGTTCAGTGAAATTGTGCAGGCTGTACAGGGGTGTCCACACACCTCAAGGTAAGCCACCCCCATTACGGCTTACACAGGACTCTGCCGAAGAGGCCGAAAAGGTACTATTGATGGCTCAGGTACTAGCCATCGACAGAAGCTCTAAAATAAGGGTGAGACAATACAGACTATGGGCTATCAGATAAATGGCGAAGGAGTCACCGGAACTTTTGCCTTCTACCTCTATGGTGGTACACGATATTCCGGAGCTGGAAACGGGCACTGCTTGTGAAAAACACATGCATGGCGTACAGCAATGGAGATGGCTGTCATCTCAGATGGCCCTGGGCGCTTCTGGAGCCATCTCCGTTTACTGACTACCTCGCCCTGCTCATCTCACACTGATTAGCTCCCCAAAGCTGCTTAGTGTCACATTCAACTCCCCGGAGCAGTTGGCCACAGCACTTCAACGGTGGTATGAGATCAAGGGAAAAATGGGAAGACACATCTGATGCTGAGAAAGCACACCTCGAAACATAAGGAGGCAGCAAACTGAGGCTTTAATACGTCCCCAAACTTCAGTGACACTCGAGCGATGCAGTTCTGAGAATAACAGTCTGTGTCACCCAATTGTCCTGCCTAAATCCAAGGGAAAAAACCACAACGGGCCGGTTCCATCGGAACTGGCCAACTAGTCCCAACACTAAGTTCCCTGCCAGCAGACAGCTTCACGTCAACTACCCCACAACACGCTGAGGTTGTAAGACTCACTGTCAGCTGCCTGTGTAGCAATGTGAGGGAGCTGAGAGGAAAAATAGGTGAACTCCGAAATCTCCAAGCACACCTACAAATGAAAATGATCATTCTCACCGACACATGGCTAACCCCCATTATCGCCGATAATGAAATCAGTATAGGTGAAATGGTTCTGGGCAGGGGAGACAGAGATAATAAGGAAGGAGGGAGAGTTGCTATATGCTTTGACAGGCAACTTAAATTTGTGCGCGCAACGTACCCACCACTCATTGAACTCCCAGACTCCATATGGTGTCATTTCACCGTAGGACACACCAAGCATTTACTTGGTGGCATCTACCGATCTCCCACCTGTGGGGCAGAGCACAATCAGCTACTGCTCAGCACCATCACAGGGATACGAGACTTGGGCTATGACCAAATCACCATTGCTGGAGATTTCAATGCCCCATCACTGAACCTTCGCTCAGGGTATGCTAAGGGAAAATTCGGCCGAAATCTACTGCAAGCTATTTGGAACACGGGACTGACTGAGAACGTTGGAGACGACACTAGGTGGGGCCCTAGTGGAAAGTCATCAAAACTAGACTACATTCTAACTAGTGACCAACTACTCGTCGAAAAGGTACAGGTCATGACTCCTCTAGGAAGTAGTGACCATGCAGTCATAGGTTTTGACCTCGTTCTCCGTGAGCATTTGCAATGGGACATTACGTAACTATGTCTGTGTTACAGTATGGCTGACTATGCTGAAATGCGGAGGCTCTTGTCCGATGCAGACTGGCCCTTAGCTTGAGATGAATTATCTGTGGATGAACACTAGGAAGTGGTAAAAAAAGTTATTCATACAGTAATCTCGGATACCGTC